AAAAAAAAGAAACAAATTTCTGAAAGTCAAAGAACGCGGAGGCGACAAGATTACGAGCGACGGTCGACGGACAACAGTGCAAGGAGCAGCTTCGACAGCAAAAAAGGCGGCAAGATCTGCGGGGAGAGACGGAGATTGAGAGAGAGGGAGACCCGACGGGGCGGAGAGCGACGTAGAGAGAAGGAGACCCGACGATAGTGAGAGGGGGAGACCCAACGATCAACAAATCCACTTTAGTCCGCCGATATATTTAGGTAAATATGACTGATCTTTTCTTTCCAATCTTTAATTGTTTTTTTCTCGACCATTAACCCCAACAACCTTGAGTTTCTTTTGCTTTTACTTTCAATGACTTCCGGGCAAGATGTCAATATTCGTGAGAGAAAGTGCGGCTAATGGCGGACTCCAGCGACTCAGTCTCCGTCGATATGGAGTCACTTCCGTTCGCCGGAAAGGTGAGGATCAGACCTTAGTTACATTAGGCTCAAATACGCTTTTACACGCATTAATGTGTGTGCTTTTTGCAGTTTGCCTTCTGATATGCTGTGTTGATTGAGTTTTTTGAGCTACATTTGGTTTATTGATTTCTAAGTTGCGCGTAATTTTTTTGATTTTTTTAAAGTGATTTGCATGAGGTATTGTGAAAACGGCTTCTCGATTCTTATCTGATTTTTTTTTTACTAGGTTTGCTATATTTTATTTTCGAATTGAGTTTGTGGATGATCGGTAAGCAGCTAAATTTGGCAAATTAATTAATTAATTAAAAAAAGATTTCATTCAGTGCCTATTCGGTTTATTTTTATCATAGCTTGATAGGGTTCTAATCTTCATCTGATTTTATCCAGCATTGCTACTAATTTGGCAAAATATTCGTTCTCTTATTTCTGATAATTCAGAGCAGAGAAGAAGATTTTTAGCTGTATGTATTTACATCTGCAAAATGTTATGCGTAAGAGTGATTATCACGTTTGGTTGAAGTATTAAATGTGATTATTTTAGTTTAGTTGTCTGTAAATAGACTCTTTACCATAATGTTATCTTGTGATTGGTTGCAACTGATCTGCTTTTATGTTGATACATTGAATCTGATTTAAGATAAAGATTGTGAACTTCTCCTTCATTAAAGCAAGTAAGAATTTCTGCTTCAGTGTTTTTGTTTGGATATTGGTGTTCTACTGTGTTGTTTTTTTTTCCTTTTGTTTCCCTTTCCTTTTATTTTTCTTCTGTTTTATTTTTATGGTTTCGTATCTTGTTTTCTTGTTTCATTACAGACTCTTAAGATGTGCATATGAATTGGTGGGTGTGTAGATTCTTTAAGGTGATAGTAAAAGAAAAGATGCATTGACTTTTAGCTAGCAGGATTTCATAAAAGACACAGCACATGGGAAATTCTGTTTGGAAATAAATGATACGCTCCTTTTGTTATCATCCGACTCGGCAAGACGCTGTTGAGAGGTTTTAAGCATCCTATTAAACGCGATTAATAGTTAAACCGACATGAATCAAAACCGCACCGACCTACACCAAAGAACCGGTCTGAACCGCCAAAGACCGAAGTGATCAACGGTTACCGAGGTCAACATCCACCGAGGACAACATGAACCGAGGTCGTCACCTCCTTAAGCAGGTGACAAGGCATCTACGAGAGGCTCTCCTACTCCACGAGATTTGCCATCATTTACGTGGGACCCCCTGCCTCGAACCGCCCATAAAAAGCCACTTTATTCAAAAAAGTAGAACACGGATCCCAATGTCTCAACCCAAAGCTACTATAAATAGCGGACCTATGACAATTGTAAGGGGATCTCGATTTTTCCAAACATTACCGAACTGTAAACCCTTTACCACGTAACACGTAAAAGCCCATCACGGCTCTTCACCTCGGTTCACCTCGGACCGGGGCCATTGTTTATTCAATCTTACATGCTTTACGTTCAAATCATTCCCAGTTACTCACTTAATCATACATTATATTGTTGTTAACAATCACATAACAACACCTTTAACTAAAGGATTGTTCCCTATTTCAAAGCATACGGTATCACAACTTTTTTTGTGTGGAATTCAGTGCTGATGGAATATTTGGCATACGTTCGTCTCTCTCTCTCTCTCTCTCTCTCTCTCACTAATTCTCACACGCACTCGCACACGCTTAGAATTAACGAACTATGCTTTCGTGATATCTTACATGAGCATATTGTGGAAACTGGTTGTGGTTCTGTGTCGGTGGCTGTTTTTGGAGACCAGGATAAGCCTGCGATAATTACCTATCCTGATTTGGCTTTAAACTGTAAGGAAAACAATATTATTGACCATGATGTCAATCTTAGTTTTGACGGGCTTCTGGTAATACACGTGGTTTATTTATTCTTAGCCATTGCCTTGAAATGTGGCAGAATCTTATTCTTTTGAGATTTTTATCTTATTTTCTTCATGTTTTTTTGTATGAAATGATCTCTTCTCCAAGAATTCCTCTATCGACAGCCTACTATAATGCTGCATGCTTTGTGTCGATATTGACTTTACTGAAATACTGAACATTAAATTGTTATATGTTAACCTTGTAGAATAATTTTGAATAGCTGCTTGAAGTAATTTCGTATTTTACTAATAGGCAAACGTACTTGTTATTCCTACAATGTGATGTCGGCAAATCTAATTCTTCCTTTACCTGTGTGTGGCCCATAACAGATATGTCCCGTTTCCAAGGTCTCTTCTTTTCTCCAGAAGCACTTTCTCCATTTCTCCACAATTTTTGCATTTATCACATCAGTCCTCCAGGACACGAGGTTTGTTCCATGATTCCTTGATTATTCATAATGGTTAAGATGACGAGCTTCATGGATTGCGATGGTTCTTATTTGGTACTCGTGTTAAGAATTATTACAGCTAGGAGCTGATGT